GATACTGATTACAGTGATCACTACGGCATAGTCACCACCCTAATGGATGCAGGTCCAACCCAAAGACATCACATTCCCAAATGGAAAACAGACAAGGCCAACTTGTTTGCCTCCCAGGGAGGCGTGGCTCGATGTCTGAAAGACAATGAACCCAACAATAATGAAAATGTGGATGTGCTAGAGGCAAGGCTAATCCAGGCCATAAACCAGGCAGCCTCACAAACCATCCCCAAAACTCGCCCATGGTCCAGAACTCACAAAGACGCCTGGTACTATAATGACGGGATCAATGAGGTCAACCACAGGGTTAATATGTGCAGAAAAAATATCCGACGGCAAAGATCTCCCGACAATCTGGCCCTGTTGAGGGAAGCTGTCATGGATGCCAAGGAAACTGCCAACAGAGTAAAGCAGGAAAAATGGCTGGAATGGTGCCAGACTTTTGGACACCAGACCAGCCTTACAGAGTTGTGGAAACAGGTCAGGCAAGCGACAAGCCGCCAAGCCCCGAAATGCACTCATCATGATCCACAGTCAGAGGCTTGATTGGTGCTTGAGTTCTCAGCCAGAACCAGCACCAACAATCTGCCTCCAATGTTGAGAGAAAAACAACAAAACTTTATTCCGGGAAGACTTGCTCTCATAAGAGACAAGGCACTCGAAGCTGATGACACGGATGCCTTGTTCTCTCTTGGGGAATTAAGAAAGTCATACAAAACCAGCTCTGCATCAGCACCGGGATCTGATGGGATCTCCCACCCCATCATTTTGCATTTAGGCCTTGCAGGAGAACTTGCATTCTTGCAGGTTATCAACAAATCCTGGCAAACAGCCACGGTGCCCCAGAGCTGGAAACAAGCCACAATAGTTCCCATCCCAAAACCAAAGGAGCCTGGCTAGTACCGTCCCATTTCTCTTCTCAGCTGCCTGGGTAAAACAGCTGAGATGTTACTCAACAGGCTCCGATGGAAGACGGGCCCCCCTCATGAACACCTGCACGGGTTCACAAGGGGTAAGAGCACTGCTCACAGCATTTCCACACTCTTAAGCACAATCTGCACCTTGCCCGCCGTGGTTGTCTTCCTAGACCTGGAAAAGGCTTTTGAATTGGCAGGCCCGCTTGCCATTCAAGAGACCCTAATCCACAAAGGAGTCAAAGGCAGACTCGGCCTGGATAGCTGACTATTTTAAAAATAGGTCAGCAAATGTCAGATTTCAAGGCCACCTTTCACAGCACATGCCACTTGAAAATGGAACTCCTCAGGGAGGGGTTCTTAGTCCAGCCCTGTTTAATACCCTCATGTCCAACATACTCGACATTCACCTGCCAGAGGGATGCAAGATCCTCTCTTATGCAGATGACTTGGCAATCATAGCCTCTGGCAATCACTGCCTAACTAGAGCTCAGCGTTGTCTGAACCTGGTGTCTGAAGAGTGTTGTAGGACGGGTCTAAAAATATCGGCAGCAAAATCCAAAGCAATGGCTCTGAGAACTAATGTCAGAAACAAAAAACTCACTGTACAGGGTATGGATCTGGAATGGGTGAAGGACTATCTATACCTTGGTGTATGGATAGGACACGCACTCACTTTCAAAAAGGAGATCCAATACCTGCTTGACAGAACCAAGTACATGCTGCCCGTCCTATTATTGACTATGCATCTGTCGCCCTCATTGCTTCCAGTACAACATTAAAAGAAAAACTGGAAACAATACATAACGAAGCAGGCAGGATAATTCTAGGTGCACCTAAGTGGACAAAGGTCATCAACCTCCTCATGGAAGCTGATTTACCGTCCATGGCCACTAGAATTGATCTAATGGCAGCACAGTTCCTTTCCAAGGTCCTGCAGGCACCCAGAAACTCCTATCTAAGACAAAGAGTTCTCAGACGCCTACAAGATTACCAGTTGTTTGCGGACAATTCCTGGCTCACACATACAGCCAGAGTTTTGATACGTTTTCAGCTAAAAGCAATCGAATTCTCTATTCTAAATATCACAATGAGAAAAGATCAATATTCCATGCCTAGCCTAAAGGCACAAGCACAAAAAGTCATCGTTCAAATAACTCCTCCGGGTACCATAACATACTACATGGACGGATCTGTGGATCCAATAAACCATACTGCAGGCACCGGCTTTGCAACAAAGGATACCACAGCATCCATTAGGGTCACTGACAATGCCTCAACGCTTAAAGCTGAAACGGTTGCGATCATGGAAGCCCTGACACACGCGTCCCTAAGGGCAGGACACGTTGTCATTCACACAGATTCAAGAGCAACTATTGACAGCCTACAGCATAGCATGCCCCCTGACAACATCTACCTCTTGACAATAGTACTAACCATAGCCCAAAGAATCCTCAGTCAAGGTAGAAGAATTATCATTAACTGGTTCCCAAGCCACATAGGCATACACGGGAACGAGCTTGCTGATAAACTAGCTGAAAAGGGCAGGGGTATGCCCCCATCCTCCATGATCGTTAAACCCAGCTGAAGGGGACTAAGCCAAAGTACCAAAGCTGCAGCGTGTGCAGTCCTCCGGGGAGCACATAGAGAAAATATCACAAAATCGCTCGCTGCCAAGTGGTACTCAGATGCTTCAGACTATGGCCCTTCCTCCAAACACAAAAAGAGGTACCGAAGTCATACTATTCAGACTAAGACTAGGTTATCAATGTGCTTGGCAAATTATTGACAATGAGACTGCCAGGTTATGCAAACACTGCGGCGAGCCTAAAGCCACCCTGTTACATTACTTGCAGAATTGTGTACACACACAATTTCTGAGGCAGGGACCACCCACCACAGCCGACGGGCTGGTAAAAAGGGTCTGTAACATGCTTACCCCGTGGCAGCTGGAAGGCAATTCAGCCACCGCGATAAGCATGCAGTTCCAAGAAAACATCTGAGTTAACTAGAAATAGTTAACATAGGCCGGGACACTCCAGAGAAAGGCCCGGGCGAATCATGTCTTCGCAAATCTAACTGAACTGAACTGACTTGACCAGGGCTCTTGGCCCTGACCAGACTTTCCCCTGGGGAGTCTCCCCACACGCGCGTTACAGCTCGGCGCGCCCCTGGGCTCCCTTTGCCCACAACTGCACCAGTACGAGAGACAGCCCACGCCACGCTACCGGACCTCTACAGAATGAACATTCAAACCAGAACTGTGCCTCCATAACCCACCAAAATCAGGGCAAAACAAAATCCTGACACTCTCTTTCTCTCTCTCTCTCACACACACACACACACAAAATAGTTTGTGTAAATAAATACAAGATACAAAAGTAAGCACAGGCATATACATTTAGTACAGATAAATGCATACACACATACAGATAAATTTATTTGTTCATTTATATTTGTCTAAAGGAACAGGATATGTGCATTGGCTGCATGGCAGTAAAAGCAGATGTAAAGCTTCAGCGACGATGTGGCACAACAAATGCAGGGGAAGGAGGTTGTGTTACATGCTATTGCCGACCAATGTGGTGTTTAACATGTTTAGGCAAATGGTAAGTAACTGTCTTTTTTATCTAGAATATATTTTATTTTCTGACTGACACAAACAAACACAGTAATGGAGGGGGGGGGGGTCAAGACCATACTCTTTGACCTTGACTTCATGGTACCTGATTCATTTCTTGTTCTTGTGGTCCTTCAGCTAGAAGATAATCTTGTAAAAATTGCTTTAGTGTGTCCATTTCAGTTATTTGCTCCTTCTAAAGAGGAATCGTGAGGAGTTTGAAATGTTACATTCAGTTTCTTTTCTTATTTTCAATAATTATATTTTTACAGATATATAAATATCTCATGAATGGGTATGCTGTTAGTTACAGGATGTACATGTTATTTTATTCATTTGTATGCTCTCTTGACCTTATTTGGATTTTTTTAAAGCCTACCAAAGAAGATATTGAAAACATAAATTCTGAATAAAAAAAATTGTTTGTGCAAAATAGTGACAGTTGTTGAATTTTAAAACTTTTGTTATCTTACGTCTTTTCAGTTGGAGTCAGTGGACAGGTAATAAAAATAAAATCAGAAATGTATGTGTGGGATACTATATTCAAATTGACATCTGTACTGCCTCCAGTAAAACACTAGCAGTCAGTTAAACCTTTATTGTCATGTTCACAAGCTGGTAGGTATGAGCAGTGTATCCAACTTGCAAGATGACAACATACACGTACGCGTGAGTGTGCACGTGATGTGAGGTGAAAAGCTGTAAGAAAATAAATCTTCACAGTTTTGGAAATAAAAAGTTGTACACAAATAAAGTAAATGAATCATACCAATATCAAATAATATTAATACAATATGAGATAGAAATATTAAGAACAAATCGGTAATTGTTGAAGACCGCGACGCACCCTCGCATAGACTAAGTCGAAAAAAATGATGTTTTTCTGCATGAAATTCTATGATTTCATCGATTTTCGGCGTTGTTTCTTTTGCGAATGAATCGTTCAGGAGATCGAGTACCATTTCTTCATCGACGATCTTGATTTGATAGTCCCGTTAGCAGGGGAGGGCATGAAGTATATCAGGGAAATTATGGGGTAAAACAAGCTTAAATAAGAAGAATAACGATCAAAAATGCATAAAACTAGCACAAAAAGCGCTTAAAATCGGCCAATGAAACTCTACGGATGTAACCGCCATCTTTGAAAGTTTACGGACTGACGCGAAATAAATCAAAAACTCCACGGGAACCCAACCCACATTTCGGCAAAAAAATCTACGGGAATTCACACGTTCCAACCCCCAAAAACGTATTGACCAATAAACCAGCCAACCTAATATATCAATATAAATTGCCGTGACTAAGCGTGCCCTTCGGGCACTGCCCGAGGGGAGGGTTGATGGGGGCAAGCCCCCAACACCCCCCAGGACACATCCTCTCCACCACGGTATGTACGGCAAGACAGAGCTGCTTTCACACCGTAAAATAATAAACCAAATACCTTTATATCAGGAAACGTGAAACTTTCGTTTCTTTGTACTGTTGGGATTGCTTCGATTTTAATCACCTTTTTCGTCCTTTGGAGCTCTTGATGGGCTCAGATATAAAACTGGGATGGTTACTGAAGTCGAATTATTCTTCGATGCCACTGTAAAGGTCTTAAAAAAAAACCAGAATCAACACAACACTGGAAACGCAACATTTCTCACCGGCTTTCAATCTCGAAATGAGCGGGTTGGTGAGCTGTCAACCTGTGGCTGGCGCAAGAAAGTGTGAAACACTCGATGCGCAGGATTCGATATGAGGGTATAGATAAATATAAAAATATGCAATTGAAGTATAATAACATTACTAAAAGACTTTAAAGTTATAAATGCGTACCAGCAGACACAGATAATTAGCCAAATATCGTTTTGACAAGCGCGTAATGATACACAGACTAGTTCGCGAACGCAAAAATGCGTTCGTGGGTCAGTGTCGTGTTTTTCCTAGCAAGGTAAACAAGCTCATCGACTTTGAATTTGAAAGGCGGCCGCGCGTTATATTTTCGTCATTTAGCGGTGACTATAAGGCCGGTGCATCTTAAACTATACGCTATCCCCTTCTATTTTTCCCGCTCTATAAGATAGCGGTGTCCATTTTCCTCTATCTACGCGCGTCGCGGTCTTCAACCTCTACCCTTTCATTAAATGAAAAGGAAACAAAACATTATTCTTTGGTAAATAACTGAAATAAAGCTTGGTAAAAATATAAGAGTACAATAGGAATGGCACTTACTTATATCACATAATTTCAAGTTATATATCACATAAAAGACACAACTTTGTTATTAACATATGCTCTAACATCTGAACAATACATTATTAACAGTATAAATAGTTGACTTACAGTGTGGCTGGCCCAAATCTTCATAAAACAAGAATAATTTAAAAGTACGCAGCACAAGACGTCTCACGTGGCTCTCTAGAGGGGCTCCGCGGATTCACAACAATGCGTTTTTGTAGGGCGCTCGTGCAACTCTAACGTCACTGTAGCCAACATTACAAACTAAATGAAATTAAATAATCATTCTCATGTTAATACATTAAATCAAATAAATTCTTGATCTAAACTCTATATATATAATAGACAAGGAATCCTTGATTCCTTTACAACATCTCAATCTCAATGTATTATACTATGTAATTATGCATTTATGGTAAGTTGGTAAGAGTATAGCAATGTAGAATAAGACCTTGATTTGTTTTACTTTTAACGCGGGATGAAATTCACTCAAAATTTTAGAAGATGGCTTTGTGTAGATGGGGTTGCTTCTTGTCAAATTAAGAAAACTCTATGTTAATGATAAAGAAGCATATCTAATCTTCTTAATGTCTTTTTTTCTCTGGCCTGCTCTCCTTTTTGTTTTTCCTCGTTGATCTCTTTTGTATCATGAATAATCTAGAATTTCACTCACTGTTTTCATTTCTGATAATGGTTATTTCTCTTTTGTAGGTTTGCTGCTCGACAGGATCAGGACCAGCCAGAAATGTGGTTGTCTTCCAGAGCACCGTGTCCCACTTGTCGTTCAGCATTTTGCATTCTAGATGTTTGCATCATTTCAGAGAACTGATAGCATGAGTAAAGTAAAATAGTGAAATTTCTTTAAAGATGGCACACACACACACACACACACACACACACACACACACACACACACACACACACACACACACACACACACACACACACACACACACACACACACGCACACGCACACGCACACGCACACGCACACGCACACGCACACGCACACACAACACACACACACACACACACACACACACACACACACACACACACACACACACACACACACACACATTATATATATATATATATATATATATATATATATATATATATATATATATAATGTGAAACATTTTCTTACAAATTACTTTTCAGAGTCAAAATGGTTCATTATATATAGCTAGGGATAAACCCTTTTTCTATTTAATAATCTAATAATTCTGTTGTAATTCCTGTTGATGATCTTTTTTTCTGATGTTCAAGCTGTTTTCATGTTTTTTGTGTAAATTAATTGCATTTGATTATTATTGTTGTTTTATTTGCACGTTTGACAATATTTGTATGAAGGGAACAAAACAAAAGGGATGCTTTTGAAGACAAATGTTTGAAAATAAACTTAAGTACAATTATAAAAATGTTTTTGTTGAAATCAGATTTATATTTTTATATAAACCTAGGCGTTTTTTTGCCCTAGAAAATTTCAGTTGGAAGATATTTGCACTTTCATTATGGTGTCATGTTTGTTTAATAACAAAAATTTTGAATGGTTACTAAAAAAATTATCCGTGTCAAATTATGGAGCAGTGTAGAAAAGTCCTACAAAGGAAATGTTAAGTGTGTGTGTGTGTGTGTGTGCATATATATTGCAGATGTGTATGTGTGCCACGGTATTGTGTATCGGCGTACCTCTTAACCATACAGTATATAGTATACCTTTCGGCGGGCGCGATAAGGTATACTATACACAGGTGAAACAGTTCGAGGAATGTATGCGCGCGCGCACACACACACACACACACACACACACACACACACACACACACACACACACACACACACACACTCTCTCTCTCTCTCTCTCTCTCTCTCTCTCTCTCTCTCTCTCTCTCTTCTCTCTCTCTCTCTCTCTCTCTCTCTCTCTCTCTCTCTCTCTCTCTCCCGATTGCAGATTCCCCATTCCCTGTTTGCCCCGAGCCGTGGTGTGGCCTACTACTACCTGTGTATAACGGGAAACCTGTTGCACGTGTGAGTGGGAGAGAGAGAGAGAGAGAAGGAGAGAGGGAGGGAGGAAAGGAAGGGTGGGAGGGAGAGGGAGGGAGGAAATTCGGGTGGGAAGGAGGGTAGGAGTGGAGGGAGAAAGGATGGGAGAAAACGAAAGGAGGGAAGGGAGGGTGGGAGTGAAGAAGGAAGGAAAGAAAGAGGGAGGGAGGATGGGAGGGAAGGAAGTCTTGGAGGCAAGGAGGAGGAAGGGACTGAGGGAAAGATGGAGGGAGGACGGGAGGAAGAAGAAAAAGAGGAAAGAGGAGATAGATAAATGGATAGATAGAGAGAAAGAGAGGAAAACAAATGATGATACAGAGAAAGCAATCGGAAAAAGAGAGAGCAAGACCCAATCTTCCCAACAGGGACCGGGTATCCTTCAACCCACATGAAACACACAAACTTGTCCCAGATGTATATCGAGTAGAATCCCAAGTACAAGGTTCATTCACTGTCACCCCCGAACGCCTAACCAGACAAGTTCCTGTATTATCATTATCATTATTTTCATTATTACTATTATTATTATTATCATTATCATTTATATTATCATTATTATGTTATTGTTATTATTATCTTAATTATTGCTATTACTATTATTACTGCAGTATGCTATTATGAGTAATTTTTAAATCATATTTAACTTCACTGAAAACGAGTACGTGATAGTTTTAACGTAAGGTCATCAATACATGAGGATATATGTTATGAAAATCGTTCAGTGTAGTTAGATTTTTTTTTTTAAATCATGTCAATATATGTAAAGTTTCATTTGTTAGTAAAAAGTGGAGATTTGAAGGTATCTAATTTATCGCTTATTTGTTTTTTCGAGAAAAAAAACAGCGAGGAAGGCATATCTCTTTTTTCCTCCCTTCATTGCATTATTTTCTTCTCTATGAAACGTGTTAAAGCAATCTCCGCAACTTTCCTTGTGCTTTTAGCATTATCCTCATCCCCTTTCTTTCTCTGGTTTCACTGTTTCCCTCCTCATCCTCTCTTTTTTCTCCCATGTAACCATTTTTTCTTTTTGGCTCATTTTCTTCCAATTTTATAACCTCTTCCTCCATCCTCTTTTCCTCCTCTCCCTTCACCTTCGCTCCTCATCGTCGTCGCCTTCCATTTTTTTTCTCTCTCCTCCTCCACCACCTCCTCTTCTTCATTCTCTTCATCCACCTCCTCCTTTTTCCCCGTCCTCTTCCTATCCTTCATCTTACTCTTCATTTTCTTCCACCATTTCATCTCCACCTTTACCTCTACCTCCTCCTCCGAATGGGAGAGGAGTGATCGGAAATAAGGGAGGAAGATGGTTAGGAGGAGAGGGAAAGTGAAAGTGAAAGAGAGGAAGGGGAAACGAAAGAGGGGAGAAAAGGGGAAGAGAGGATATAGGAAGAGGAGAATTGATTAGCATAAAGATGAGAAGGAGGGAGGAGAGAGAAAAGATGGTTAATGGTTAATGGTTAAAATAAATGTGCTAGACATCTAAGGTCATATAGCATTATAGGAAGGTATAGTAAAGGGGGATGTCAGGTGATAGCTGCTATGTGTCAACTATCTTGAGTAGTGTTGAAAGGTTGAAGATGAGGGAAAAGGTTATGGTGGTTTAGGTAAGGGAGTTAGATCAAGTTAAGGATATTTATGCGTCTGAGGAAGGAGAACAGGTTGTCAAGGCAGAAGCTGTGGGATTCTGTAAGGATGTCTGATATGTTGGGAGGTCGGTGAAGGGAGGATAGGTGTGGAAAAGCAGAGGTACGTGCTGTATTAAAGCGTGGACAGGACAAGAGAATGTGTGGAACTGAAAGAGGGACGTTACATAAGAGGACATAAGGGCAGGTCTGAGCGTGACATTAGATAGGCGTGTGTCAGGCGAGTGTGGCCAATACGTAAGCGTGCGAGGGCCGTCTCCCAACGTCTGTTTTTGTGAAATGGAGCTGACCAAGAGGAGATTGATGGTTTTACGGTATGTAATTTATTGCTGTGGAGTCTTGACCAAAAAGATTGCCATCGGGTATACAAGGTCTTAAAGTGGGGGTAATAATCCGTAACTGGAATATGTGAGAAGCGTAGTTGAGGTGATGTGGACATTGCGGCATAGCGTGCAAGAGTATCTGCCTGTTCATTGCTAGGGATTCCAATATGGCTGGGTACCCAGCAAAATCTGACAGATTTGTGACGCGTGGATAGATAGAACAACCAGTTCTGGATCTTACAGACTATATACAGGGATTATACAGGGATTGGTCGAGTGCATAGACTTTATGAGGGTTAAAGAGTCAGTAAAATAGTAAAAGCGGAAGAGGGGGATGAGTATATGCGTCTTAAGGCAAAAAGGAGTGCATATAGTTCTGTAGTAAGGACACCAGATTCAGGAGGGAGGGTGTATTTGAAAGTGCGATTTGGGAATGTTACTGCGAATCCAGTTCCTGAGATGGATTTGGAACCATCAGTGTAAACGTGATTGCTGGAGGAATGAATGGAGACATGGTCAAGGAAATGAGTGAGAAGGGTAGAGGGGGGAATATCTGATTTTGGTGGGTCACGGAAACTGAAGAGCAAATACAGGGGTTTAGGTATAAGCCATGGAGGAATGGAATGGACAGAAAGTGGGAGAGATCGGAGGTGAGGAGAGGGGGAATGGGAGAGAAGGGTATCCATGCATACGGGGAGAGGAGTTGTTAGAGAGAAAAGGTGATAAAAGGCCTTTTTCCGGTGCCAAGAAACTGTCTAACTACACTAGAGGGTGTCGTTTTTTTCATTTGCGACAGTCTCCGGGCCGATCGCGACAGCAACGTTGCCGATGCTTCTACGCTGTCCACAGATTCGGCTCCACCCCCATTCCTATGAATTGTACTCGAGTTGACGAATCTGATTTTGTTTTTGAATTGTATCAATTAACAAATCACTGGTTTACTGATGTAACATTACGAAATAATAATAAATACAAGTTGTTAGTTATCAACATCTTCAAATTACAAATCAAACGATGGAAAACTATTGAAATCAGTTGAAAATGCGCGGGCCCTAAGCGCCTCCCATCATACTTCTTTATTCGTCCATCGACAATGGTTTCGAAGGTCACACTTCTTTAAATATTTTGAAAATGACACTATTTATTGATTGATATCAACTACATTCAGAAGGATATATAAGTTTACGGCAGCATATTCAATTATATATACATATTAAGTAAAATGAGTATGTAAAACCTAATATAAATTTTCATAATATTCTTTTGACCATTCGAACACATTCTGTAAATAAAACGAGATACTTCCCCGTATATTATTCGTCATGGAACACTTTTGGAGGCCAGAATATTGCCCAAGATTAAAGCATAAATGATATATATAAAAAAAAAAAAAAAAAAAACAGTAACAAGCCTTATATGACATATCGCATAAAAATGTACACATACGAAAGATAAATCTGAACCTCGCTCTTCTTAGCCGTAGCCCTATTAATTAATACGAAAGCATATAAACCTTAAACTCTATATTATTATATATGGTAGTAGTGTATATTTTTACTATATTTTTGCATATATGTATATATACATATACATACATAAATGCATAAATATGTATATGTATATATATATATATATATATATATATATATATATATATAATATATATATATATATATATATTATATATATATATATATATTATATATATATATATATATATATATATATATTATATATATATATATTATATATATATGCAAGTGTGTATACATATGTTTAAATATATATGTGTGTATACTGTATATATAGGTATGTATGTATATATACATTTCTGTATGTATATATATAATATATATGCATATATGCACACATATATACACATATATACACATATATACACACGCGCGCGCGCGTAAATACTTTCAAACTAGTACTTAGTGTAATAATATCCTCATTAACATCATCAAAGTTACTAATATTGCACCATACAGTACAGCATCAACTTTGAACTTCCCATTTTCTTCCTGTTTTAAAACGAGCAGAGGTGCTCCGCGCGCTCATCAGCCAGGTGCAGTTGCTTATATATGACTCCGCCCCCATAAATAGGGGTCATGGGAATCTGTAGTACTACACCTCTTGGCACCGGAAAAAATGCCTAAAGATGTGGAGGGTGGGAAACAAGAAAGCGTTTTCATTTATTGTTTGTTTGTTTCCCTTATGTTTCCAGGTGCTCTCTGGGTGTTTTTCTGTTATTTTCTTGTTTTCGTTTGTTTCAGCCTTCCTATTTCCCATGTCATGCTTCCCCTCCTCCGCCTCTTTCCCTACTTCTTATCTCTGGCATTTTTATCCACCTCCTCCTCCTCCTCCTCCTCCTGTTATCAATGTTTTTATCCTTATCATTATTATCATTATAATTATTATCATTGATATCATGATAATAAATATTATTATTATCATTTTAATATCATTATTATTGTTGTTGTTTTCATCATCATCATCATCATTCATATTACATGAAATGTCATAAGATCAAAACACTATCATAACATTAATTACCCTCACTTTTATATTATTTAGCATTACTATTATTGGTATTATTATCATATCAATACGGTTATCAATAACTTTCTTCGGTTTATAAGCCGATGTTTGGGGGATTTCCAGAATGGATAATGGGCGAAGTAAATAAAATGTATTGGCTATTAGGACAAAATGCGTTACACGTCAAAGGTTGTATAGTGTTGTTTGGTGGTATGGTAGTGAAAAAATTATGTTTGAAAAATAAATGTGCTAGACATATAGCACTATGGTAAAGTATTGCGTCAGAAAGAGCAAAGTAGAGTTAAAGATTACGATAAAATGTGTTGGATGTCAATGGTTTGAGAGCGTTATAGGATAGTATGGTAGTGAGAAGGGTAAAGAGGGAAGGGCAAACGGAATACCCAGGCTGTTCAGGATTGACACAAAACGAGCCTTTCGTCCTTTTAGCAAGGCTCTCACACTTTCGGAAGTGGATAAAAGAATGGGATGAAGAAGAGAAGGAAAAGGAAAGAGGGAGGAGAAAAGACTATGAAATTTTAGCTGAGATGAGGGCTGAGGCCCAAGGTATGTGATCCCCAACCTTGGCTCGGTCTCTCCCTCTTAAACACCATCCCTCACAACGAGGAAAGAATTTGGGGGGTGGGGGGATTATCATTATTATTTCATTATATTCGTTTATTAAATTTACCTTCATTGTGACAAGTTCAAATGACTTGGTTGTTTTTACAATAAATATTTCTGTTACGACTCGGTTATAAAAAAAAGCATCTGCATATTGCTGTGACCATTAGTATCATCAGATTATCATAGTTTCATTATCATTATTTTTAATGGTTAAAACAAATAAATGTGCCAGATATCATAGTTTAGTGGTGAAAAGGTTTAGGAATGAGTTAATGATTAGGGTGATGTCATATGTTGAACATTATTAGAGGTAGTAAGGTAGTCAAATGGGTAGAGTGGGGATCATTGTTATTATAATTTGTATTATGATCGATATCATTATCAACCTCATTTTATTATTACTGTTATTATCATTATTACTAATATTATCATAATTATAATTATTGTTCTTATTATGTAGAGCATATATATATATATATATATATATATATATATATATATAATATATATATATATATATATATATATATATATATATATATATATATATATATATATATATATATATATATATTTACATATATATTTACATATATATATGCACATGCACATGCACATGCACATGCACATGCGCACACGCACACACATCCACACACATATACCAAAAAAAAAAAAGAAATGCATATCAGAGATGTTGTTGATAAAGATACAAGTTTTGTTGATAGTCTTTTATACAGTACAAATAACAGTAACAAAATATATTTTTCACAATACATCACACTTTTCTTATTCAAATACACTTCAAAATAGAGGACAGGGCTCACTTGGAAGGTCCCCATCTCTTACCTACTCTGAGGTTATTTTCCGTATTTAGGAAATATATATTATATTATATATCAATATACATTTACCTTCTGTATTTTAAAAATATATATACAAATTTCTGTTTTGCAAGTATGTATACAGCATACCTCTTAGTTCCTAAGAAAAAAAAGAAAAAAAAAATCCTGCATCTCATTCTCTAGTTTTCTACAGCCTCTATAACCCTCCTTTTAATGTGGCTCATGGCCTCTGAGACACCGGAGTGAGGGTGTTCCTCTTTCATGGACAATCCCCTTTGCTGTACTGATGACATGCTAGGGTCAATAGGCAGAGAGCCTAGGAAGGGTATGCTGTATTTTTCTGCAAGGTATTTTCCAGCACCTGATGAAAATACCTGGCTCACTTCCTAAAAGAAAGAAAATAAGAAAGAAATATGAGAGGTGCTAAGGATATGGAGATAATGTATAGTCACTTTTCTCATGTTTAATCCTTATTTAGTTGTTGTTGTAACATCAGCTTTACCAGTAATGAGAAGAAGGAAGAGAAATTTGAAACAAGATGTGAGTAGGAAGAGGATTAGAAGATGTGAAGGATCATAAGAATAAAGAGGAATACGAGGAAGAGGAGGAGGAGGAGGAGACATGGAAGTAGGAAAAGAAGGGGGAGGAGGAGAAATAAGAATAAGAGTAGAAATAGGAGGAGGAGGAGAAATAAGAGAGGAAGAGGATGAAAAATAAGAGTAAGAGGAGAAATAGGAAGAGTAGGAGAAATAGGAGGAGGAGAAGAAGGAGAAGGAAAAACAGCAGCAGCAGCTATAGCAAGGAAATGGAAGAAGTAAAGGGATATTAATGTTTATTCTAAAACTCACAGAGCAACAGGGGCAGCAAAATCCAGAGAGATTTTCTATAATGCCTAAGATTGGTAATCCCATTTTCTGGCAGAATCGAATCTCTCTGCTCACCACACCTGAAACAGGAAAAAAATTTGGTATAAATCTTTCTGAGAAAAAGGATGTTGAAAGTACTACATGCATATATTTCCAATTCAACTTTCTACTTGAATTTATTGACATATTTAGAATATCACTCCCTGTTTGATCAAGCCAATACATAAAACCCCTCACTCCTAGTTCCCCTGCTCCTAGACGA